AAACATATCAAAGGCAGACAGATTTCTTGTACTGGGGCGACCTGACTCAGTCTTTTAAAAGTACAAATCTGGGATCATTCTAAGGATATCTACAGAAAGTTTCTTATTATTTTCGGAAATATTATTGTTTTAATTTATATATGTAATGCTTTTCCTCTCTTAAAAAGGCTCGAAGTGGTGAACAGTGTTAAAAATGATACAATGTACTATTTAACACCTGAAGCATATAAGTACTAAAATAGAATTAAACCTATGACTATTAAAGAAAAATAGCTAAAACCATTAAAACCATTATTAGCTTGCATAACAATAATATTCTTCAGATAAGCAATCTTACTGTTAGCCAAATACAAGGTAACCTTATTAATATCAATGAACAGCTGCACACTTCATCATGGACCCCTCTGCAGTTTCAACTAGGCAACATATCCAACAATATCACAGTTCTCCAAAATGAAGTGAAGTATCTACTATTCCTCCTTAGAAGAGACCAAAGAAACAAACAAGGGAAATTTTCAGTATGAACTGCAGAAGAAGCACAAATATTCAACCACAAAATGCAACATTTGATTAATACCTTTCTGGCATGCCCATTCAAAACAAAGTTCAAATTCATTTTCTGTCATTACTCTTCCAGCTCAGGCTCAGTGACAATGTGGATGATTTGCAGGTAGCAGCTTCCCCAGTTCAGTCCTAGTACCATTCATTTAAAAGATTTCATGGTATGTGATGCAAAAGGGCCACTGGAGAAACACTGCCATCCACAATAGAAACATTTTTTTAAAGTGACATATAGAAATTTACAAAGGAAAGATAAGTATCATAGTAGACATCCTTGATGGATTGTCTGGACTGTCATAAAGAAGCTAGCTTTCTGGAAAAAAAGCCTTACACATTTGAAATGAAACAACTCCTTAGAAGCCTTTAATTCCCCATGAAAGATTTCCTACTGCAAAAAAAACCCATATATTTTTGCAAAACAAACTACGAAGTTGAACCAACTGAGATGAGTCACAAGATATTTCAGTACTATTACATTTTACCACCAGAAGAATAACATCAACAAAGCCTGTACAAATGTCAGATTTTCACCAAAATACTTTCCTTAAACAGAACCCTTCATATAAAAACACTGTTATGTTGTCATACTGATAAGAACATAGGAAATTATCTAATCTCATAGTTCAGACCATGGGCTGACAACATTGTCGCCAGAGATCATGAGTTTGGAAGACAACCAAGTCCTGTACAGATATTCAGTGTGTTCCTCTGAAGGTGTGGCAGAGCCTACATGCAGTGGCACAAGATCTTCGACCATTGTACCTGAACACATCATGATAAGAAAAGCCCTGAATATTAGGAAGAACTTCCTAACAGTGAGGGCTGTTCAGCAGTGGAACTCTCTGCCCAGAAGTGTGGCAGAGGCTTCTTCTTTGGAGGCTTTTAAACAGAGGAGGTATGGCCATCTGTCGGGAGTACTTTGAATGCGATTTTCCTACTTCTTGGCTGGAGGTTGGACTGAATGGCCCACAAGCACTCTTCCAACTCTATGATTCTATGATTCTATAACAATAATGCTTGAGAAGATAGAAGGCAGAGGAAAATAAGGAACACTGAATTCCAGATGGATGACCCAGTCAAGAAAACCCTGCCCTGAGTCTGGACAAGTTGGTAATAGAGAAACTTGGAGTCTCACCTTCATAGGATCACCAAAAGTCAAAGTTGACTTGGTAGCAGAATATTCTTTTCTGGAAGGGATTTATAGGGTTTATCAGGTTTTCAAAGGGGCTAGTGACACTGCCTCTTGAAAAATCAGTGCATTAAGATATGCATTATCTACAATAAAGCCTAAGGAAAATTTAAGTAAATAGTAGAGATGTGCATTTTTCTCGTTAATCCTCATAAGTCATATCAAATTCATTAAATTTCTACTTGTGAGGCAATATCTGACACATGATCATGAACTGCACCAAAACTTAAGAATCATAACTTACCCAATACTTTTTAGTTTGCATTTTGCAAATCTCAGAAGCCTCCCAAAGTCTGTTTTATTTTCAGCACAAAGTAGCAAAGCAAAGCCAAAAAGGCTTTCTTTCCTCTTTAAATTAATGGCCTCTTGCCATTAGGAGAGGGAAGCGGCAAGGAGAAAGCAGAGTTCACTAGGAAAGAAAGCACAGGACTCTGGGAAATGTAGTTTAGGAAGACGAGGAGCCCTATGGCAGAGAATGCAAAAGGCACTGACCTAAACTACATTTCCCAGAATTCTGCTCGCATCAGAAATCCCCAATCAGAAGATGGGAGAGATTCATTCAAACATTTGAGAACACAGAAATGCTGGACCACACCAACAACCACCATGTCAGACTACACAGAGAAGCCACTGAAATCCACAAGCATGTGGACAATTTCAACAGAAAGGAAGAGACCATGAAAATGAACAAAATCTGGCTACCAGTATTAAAAAACTCTAAAATTACAACAGCCAAACAGCAGAGAGGAAACAACCAGGCACATCTTAACACCTCTTAACAAAAGATTTTCCCAGGCTCAGCCAGGCCTTCAAATGCTAATGAAGGTGGTCAGTTGAAACATTCACACCTAGCTCCAGCAGAGAAGAGCTCTTTGCCCCACCCCAGCCATTCCACAGATATATAAACCCATTGTCCTAATTCCAACAGACCTCACTACCTCTGAGGATGCTTGCCATAGATGCAGGCAAAACGTCAGGAGAAATGCCTCTAGAACATGGCCCTATAGCCCGAAAAACCCCACAAGAACCTAGTGATTCCAGCCATGAAAGCCTTCGACAATACATTAAAGCAATGGTATTCCCCATAGGAACTTATGGATGTGAAAGCTGGTCCATAAGGAAGGCTGAGCGAAGGAAGATAGATGCTTTTGAACTGTAGTGTTGGAGGAAAATTCTGAGAGTGCCTTGCCTGAGAAGATCCAACCAGTACATACTTCATGAAATAAAGCCTGACTGCTCATTGGAGGGAAGGCTATTAGGGGCAAAGATGAAGTAGTTTGGCCACATCATGAGAAGACAGGAAAGCTTAGAGAAGACAATGATGCTGGGGAAAATGGAAGGAAAAAGGAAGAGGGGCCAAAAGGGCAAGATAGATGGATGGTATCCTTGAAGTGACTCACTTGACCTTTTAGGAGCTGGGGGTGGCCACAGCCAACAGGTAGCTCTGGGGTGCTTAGGTCACGAAGAATCGGAAGCAACTGAATAACAACACATCCATTAAAAGACTATTCTGCCACATGAGCTAAAGGACTAAAAATATGTCTCAGTAAAAAAAAAATCTTTGTCTGCTAGTGGAAAGAGAGCAGAGAAGGGGTCAATCATACTTCCTATGAGAGATTTCTACAATCTGAGAGCAAATAGGCTCAGCACCTTGAACAGCACTTTAAAGTTCAAACTAAAACCTGGAGTGTATTTACCAGTCCACAGTCATCAGAACCATGTCCTAATTTACAATGCAAACTCAGTGAAGCCACATTGACATTAGTAGGTCAGCTTTGTAACACATGCTTAGTGTTGGAAAAGATCCGAATAAATTTGCCCATTTGGAAATCAGCCGAGAACCACATTCATCTTCCAGTTACATTCCTAACATCCATTCCTTGATTTCCACAGCAACTTCCCCAATTGGCCAAACCATAACAACAAAACAGAATCCATGAAGCAAGGACAACAGCTTTAGATTCTTGTAGTCCTGAAGAACTTATGTAATGCTGCAGAACATTCAGCGCGATATGGTACAGACAGAATATTATTATTTACTATTTATTATTATTATTATTATTATTATTATTATTATTATTATTATTATTATTATTATTTACAGTATTTATATACCACCTTTCTCACCCCTGGGGGGACTCAAAGCGGTTTACACATAAATAATGGCACAATTCAGTGCCTTACATTGGGCACCAATACGATGGCAATACAAACAATTACAATAGTAAAACCACAATTAAACATAAATCATAATTAAAATAATCCATCAACAATCATTAAAATAATAAAACAGTCTCATCAGTCAAATCACTATTCCAGTCAATGTCCCTCTAAAATGCTACATACATCTACTGTCCGAAGGCCTGGTCCCAGAACCATGATTTTAATTTTTTTCCCTAAAAGCCTGGAGGGAGGGAGTGGAAATTACCTCATTTGGGAGTGTGTTCCATAGGCTCTCAACCTTCCTACATCATTAAGATGCAGCATCATGTGAATATTTTTAATCATACCTTAAACAGCAATGTGATATTGCTAACAATTCTATTATATGAAAACATCAATTTGTTACAATGCATTCTAATACCAGGCTGTTCTTTCTCTGTATGCCATTATGTGTTAGAACTCCTGCCCTCTTACCACAAATCAAACAAATGAAATTGAAATGATTGAGCCAGCAATAAAAGTACTGCAGTGTTGTTCTACTATCACAAGTACATATACTATCAGAGCCACTTATACCGAATCAATACAAGCAACACTAAGTCAATTTAGTTTTCAGTAAGTTGTGGAATGGTTTGTGGAACAGCTTATGCAACTGGAATTCAAGCATTTTCCCCATACCTGCAGGACTGGTATCTGCAGTTTCATTTATCCATCTCCAAGAAAATATCTCCTATCTACACATTTTCCAGATCCTTCGGCACAACTCTATGACATTCTTGGGTTGGGGTTCACTGCTATCTACAGTTGTGCATATACATAAGAAGTCTGGGAACGTTTCCTCTGCAGACACAGGGGTTGTACTGGATTTGACACTTGAGCACATGAAATGGATGTGTTCACAAGTTTTGTGCTACTAGGATGACACCATTAGATACACATCACCAATATCACCATTACAGAGCATGAAAATAATTTGGTTAACTGGCAATTAAAATGCATGGTGCCATTAAAACAAATATTACAAAAAAGATGAATTAGTATTCACTGCTTTCCTTTACTGGGCCACGGAGAAAGGAGAAAGCCTTACTTTTGGAAGAGAAGCTCTGGAGCCTGAACTCTGAGTGGTCATTGTCAAGACTGTAGTGATGCCCAAGGCAACTCTGGCTGGAGCAGCATCCATGTTGATCCAGAAAGAAACCCAGGACAAAATGACGATCAGCAGGCTAGGAATGTACATCTGGATTAAATAATATCCCATCTGACGCTCCAAATGAAACTTTACTTCAATGCATGTAAATTTTCCTAGAACATGAAATTGCTTTTATAAATCACTTTTTGTACATTTTAATCTGATTTTATTATGAGCATAAATGAACTGCCTTAGGCACATGGATTTTGAAATGTCTGATATTATTCATTCATTTTAGGCTCGTTCCTTTGCCAAGCCCTTAAATATATACTGCACAGATTCTTATATTGGGTTACATCCGCCCTGATGACCACCGTATTGCCACTTGAGACTTTTATATCACTTGACACATAACTGACTCTAACAGCATATTTCTATTTGTCTTCTTGGACAGGGATTAATACTACAAGCAGCCTCAGAAGGACTTATATTTGTTGTGATACACTTTATTTTATTTTATTGAAAAAATATTTTTAAAATGATAAAACATTTCTATTTGTGAAGATTCAACTAAAAATACTTGATGAAGGAGATCAGGGCATTTGGTGTCACAATGTCAGTGTTATGATTTCAGTATCAAAGAAACAAGCCACTTAAAAGGGTGGTGGGGTGGTGGTGGTGCTGAATGCAGTATGTGTCCTTGGCCATCATAGCTAGTGTTGTTGCCAATTTTTTATTCATTGTCTAACTTTGGATAGGAATCCCTAACATTTGGCTTTACTTTACGTTGAACAGCATTTCCACTAGAAGATGTTAGGGTTTTGTTTGTTTTTTTACTCAGAATTTAAACCAAATTTTCTCTCCTGTCTTGATGTCCTGAGAGCAACAATGGCACTGTCCAGGGTACTGGAGATCCTAGATCTATGGTTCCCATACTTTTGTCCTCCAGGTGTTTTGGACTTAAGATTTCAGAAGCTAGCTTAACCAACAGTCAGGAACCCTGGAAGTTGAAGTCCAAAACATCTAGAGGAGCAAAGTTTGGGAACCATTCCCCAGCCTAGACTATGCACCTGGGTGCTAAGGTACTTAATAGGGATGGCAGTGCCTTGAAAACTATATCTTCCAGGTCCATGTATTTTCAAGGTTCTTGATTTGTGAATTGGGCAGAGAAGCAGAAAGGGCATGACATATCTCAGGGAGTTTACAGTGAGACCATTCTGTTCCAATCAATTTAACTATTGAAATTGTTAATGCAAGCATTGCTTTTCTTTGACTACTCTATGCAAATGCTAATGGACTGAATCAGCCCCACCTAGGGCCCTTGAAGAGCACATATGCTCTTTATGTCTCTGTGGTGAAATGAAAAGCTGTCCACTTGAAAGAAGAATAAAGGGCATTAAGATAGCCATTTTCAGGGGTGCTTTGATTGTGTATTCCTGTATGACAGAAGGTTGCTCTGGATGGCCCTTGTGATACTTAACAAAACACTAAGATTCTAATATTCTGATTCTAGGATTCTCCTTAGTACAAGTTCAGGCCTTTTCAGCACTGAAAACTGAATCACAAAGACTTTTAGTTCAAACCTTTGTGTAAACAGGCAGGAGCACTCAAATGTAAACATTTTTGGTAGCATCCTGGCTATATCATTCTTTTGCCTTATCTCACAAAGAGGCTAGATCAGGAAACATGACATGAGTAACACCAAAATACATATTGTTATGGGGCAGATTCTTTGGACTTGACCTCACAGCAAGAGAGGGGTACATATGGACAAAAGGGCTTCTGGGATGTTCTCCTTATATCTGTAAAATATGGCTCTAAAACAGAGTGTGAAAATGGGTATTCATGTGTTTTAATATCTGCTGCATTCACAAAACACTGTGAAATCTAATTTTGTATACATCCTTTTGTCTCATCATCGTCATCAACAATTTGGTTTTAGTCATCATCACAAGAGGGGCTGAAAGAGACATTCCTCCAAATTTTTGATATTTATTAAGGGTGCTATTTGTTATTTTGGGATATGTGGGCACTGACTCTTTTTTAGTCCTCTAGAGGGTTTTTTCCAAAATGGAAGATTACTATAATGAAAGCACTGTGGAGAACTAAACAAGTTTCAGCCCCAACAAATGTTGAGAGAATGGGTAAAGGGCATGGGGACTTTGAGACCACAATGTAACCTATAGAACACCCCTGCAAAAACTGCATTCCTAATGCTTGGTTTTATTTCAGCTTGAATGGCAATCTGCTAAGATAATATCTCATGCATCTGATGGAACTGAGACAAAAGTTTCCACAGTAGTAATTTATTGGTCTTTAAGGAGTCACATAAATGACATGTTATATTTATGTTTTCTGGCCACAATTCAGCACAGCATCAGACACACTTCAATCTATCATTTTAACTCCTTTATTCAGTTAATTCAAAGAGTAAACAAATGCTCACCAGTATTGTAGTGTTTTGTGCAATAGCCAAGTTCCTTCTCTTCTTTCAAAATAAACTGTGGTAGAGTCAAGCCTTCCGCTACTTGGACGGGAGCGTCACTCATCCACTCAAATATCAGGTCATTCATTGTGTAGCCAACTTGAATAAACAAATCATATTTGATCAGATAATAATGAAGTGCTACAAACACTGTGGCCAAGAAAGAGAAATCATGACAGTAAAAGCTTTCTTTGTTTTGAATGGGAAGACATCAATGATAGAGGAAATAAATTAACACACAAACAGTACTATAGTCATAATTTTTGTCACAATGAATTACATTGTATCACTGAATGTGGAAAATTCTGGTGATAACTATACAGATACTCATTATCAGTGCCAATCCAAAACATTTTGCTCCCTGAAGATGATGCATAATACTTGAAGCCAATCATGTTATTTTTAGTGTGTGTGCATATGCATGTGCATATCTATATGTGCCTTAGAGTCACCTTTCAACTTGTTGCACCCTATGAATTTCCACGACAAGGAATACTTCAAAATGGTTTTGCCAGTTCCTTCCTCTGAAATATAGTCTACAATATATTTCTTGGTGGTCTCCGATCCCAATACTGTCTTGATCCCAAGATCAGGGAAATCAGTTTAACTATTTTTTTTACCTTTTCATGACACTCCAAAACTTCTATCCTAATCATATCAGATGAAAGTTCCAGATCTGCCTATGATAAAACCTATTTTACAATAAGGAGTGAAGAAATATGCTAAAAAACTGCAATTTTATTTGCCATTAATTAGAAATAAGGCTCAGTGAATGCAGTGAAACTTACTTTTTCTATGTATATATGTATTTTATTTATTTTTCTTTGTAAGGAATTTGTAAACCACTGCTCATGAAAGTGTATAAAATGAGTTTTAAAAGATATGTAGAAAATTACAATATAAACAAAAACATCAGTATAGCTGTGGATGGTATATGATTTTCAGCCAGGAAATATTTATCTAAAAAGAAAAGTCTATAGTAAACACCAAAGACAGAAAAATCAAAGTGATAGATAGGATATGAAAGACTAAACATTCCAGTTTTGGAGGTTTCCAGTCTAATTCATGGGTCATATCATCAGAGGTGTCTCTGCAGAAGACCTTGCTGGTCAGACAGGTTGATGGTAGAAGTAGAAGTTGTATCCTTGTATATTTTAATCCCAAATATTAACTAATCAAACCAGTATTAGACCAGAGTTTTGGTTTCCAAATGCACATCAGGAATATGGATTTTCAAATCTTGGTTTGGACTCATAGTTCTGGAATGGATTGGGTATGGAATGGAACAGGTATAAAATAATAGAATCATAGATTTCAATCCATACCCAATCCATTCCAGAACTATGATTCCAAATCAAGATTTGAAAATCCATATTCCTGATGTTTTAGTTGATGTGTATTTGGAAACCAAAACAGAAGTAACTCTAGTCTAATGATGGTTTTATTAGTGATTAATATTTGGGATTAAAATATTCAAGGATACAACTTCTACTTCTACCATCAACCTGCCTGATAAATAAGTATGAATCAAGCCATACTGAACCAGGTTTGGATCTAAACTGCCAAATTCACTTCTGAAATGAATGAGTAGACTCTTTATAAAGCCTTAAGTAATTACCCCAGGGGTATTGTGAATAATCCCTTAAGGATTCAACAGAGGCAGATAAGCATATAGCATCTCTTTGCTCAGAGATGATGGAATGCAATACCTCATTAGGCTTTTCAATCAACTTAATATCTGAGACTGCAAAACAAGACAGAATTTGTGACTGACAATCTGAAATAACAGAACTGGACATATGAACATATAAAACTGCCTTTTAGTGAGTCAGATTTTTGGTCAGTCAAACCCAGTACTATCTATTCTGAGTGACATGAGCTATATATTGTTTCAGGGGCAAACTTAAAATGCATGTTTATATTGAATATGGCTGTTTTTTCATTTCTGTTTCTTCCATTGACAACTTACTTCCTGAAGCAAAGAACAACTGAACATCTTTTTGGTAGAAAGTCAAGAAATCATTATCATTAATACTTCTTATTGCAACTACTACTATGGGATGAAACGAGGGACTTCTACCATGGCTGGTTTACTTAATGTCCCCAATTGAGTGGAGGGGCTTAAACTTCATGACAAATTGGTATCTAAATGAAGCAAGTAAGGAAGTCCATGGATTCAACTACCCACAGCTTGAAAATAATCACAATGAATAAATAAAATTCATAAAATTGATTTTTCTATTTGCATACAATGGGACTTAGGCATCAGTGTATTTTGGTATCCACAGGACCCCTGGAACCAAACTTCAGAAGATACCAAGAATTCACTGTACTGATAAAAGGCAGTGTGAGATTTGAAATATTTGTCCCACCCTAGGTAATATCCTTTGATGATCAAGAATAAGAACATTTAGTACTGTGGTTAGAAAATATCTGTGGTGTTGAAGCTAGTCTATTAAAAAGTAAGAGAGTTTAAACTCCATTAAATTGGCTCTTTCTTTAAAGGGAAAAAATAGCAGCCATGAGGATAGGATTGCTGTATCAGCAATTAAGGCACAAATCATGCTTGTCAGCAGCAGAATGTCACAAAACATGACATTATGGTAGCATAAAAGTCTGATTTACAGTTGGCATCACCAGTGGTCACAATGTTTACGGATGATGTATATTTTTATGTGGAAAAGAAGAGATGAAGAAACATCATCTGATTACTTACAGCTTTCTAGTTGCATTGTACATGTTTGTACATCCATGGGGAAATTCTTCAGATCCATGGGACAGGATAAGGTTAATGTTAGCCTAAAAGGAAAAATGAAGATACGTCACCATATTTAGTTAACATGGAATTATAGGCAAAATGATTTTCAAGGACATTGTTAGATGAAAAAAAAATCAAAGCCTTCTGATAGTCAAACACGGAAATAAGGTCAGTATGTCAGATATTAACCATTTTGAAAACATCATTCAAATGCCATGGAACATTGCAAAATCATGCCTTACTTTCAAAAAGTATTCCTTCCCCCCCCCCCCCCCAAAACTGATCTGGCAAATTAAATAAAAATTGTTTTCTATCATGAAAAATAGTAATGAAGTGTCCTAGTATACAGTCACTTGGAATAAAAGTTAAAAACAGCTTTACTATGCCCGGACAGTGACACACATACACACAAAACCTATCATATTCAAAAAAGAATAAAACAGAAAGAGATTACTTAATACAAATTAGATTTTTAGTATTAATTGGGTCAATAGAGGAATTAATCCACTTCTGACTGAATTCAAACAAAGACTGCCTTTTAAAATTATGTCCTGAAACTATCCATATTGGATACAACCTTTACATCATATCTGTTCAGCAGAATGTGATGCGTTGTTCATACTTCAGTGACTGAAAAGGCGTTTATATCAGAGCATATCAGATATTTTAAATTAATATAAATTAAGAGTAATTTGAGACTAAGGGCCCTCTGGTGGCACAGCAGGTTAAACCATTGAGCTACTGGAATTGATGGCTGAAAGGTTGGTGGTTCAAATCCGGGGAGCAAGGTGAGGTCCTGCTATTAGGCCCAACTTCTGCCAACCTAGCCGTTAAAAAACATGCGAATGTGAGTAGATCAATAGGTACCGGTTTTGCAGGAAAGGTAACTGTGCTCCATGCAGTCATGCTGGCCAAATGACCTTGGCGGTGTCTATGGACAACACTGGCTCTTCGGCTTAGAATTGGAGATGAACACCACCCCTCAGAGTTGGACATGACTGGACTTAATGTCAGGGGAAACCTTTACCTTTTCTACTAAGACTAACAGCATAATATGATTGATGTTTGGTCAGGAATATCTCCTGGTTTGTTTCATGGTGCTTACTCTTTCTGAGAGGAAAAAAAATCCTGCACATTCTGATTTGTAACCAGGCTAAAGCTGAATCTACTCTGCCAAATAATGCAATTTGAACATCTACCCTTGTTTTGTCACTGGCTTCAAATGGTGCATTTCAGAGTTTGAGGGAAAAACAACAACATAATTGATCTGGCAGGCCTGACATCTGCCCATCCTCATGTTAGAGAGATGAAATTCAGTCCTCCTGAGTCCTGGCATTCACCATGCTACCCTTCTTGACTCAATTGCATGGAGGAAAGTTCAGCAGCCTGCAGCCTCCAAAGAACCAATTCTTGTCTGACAGATAAATCCACTCAGATCAGTTATGCATGAGAGGAAACATTCACACATCAATGACAAGGAATTCACAGTATTAATGAAGCTAGATGATTGATAAATTCAGATTCATTTTCAAGTCCACTTCCCCATGGATTGCTCTTTTTTAGTCCTTAAAGTTTTTGCTTTCTTAACACAACAAAACCACTTCCTCTAAAAGGGATTCATATAGTCCTGTGTTTTACTGACTTTCCTCCAATACCATTTTAATAGTTTCCTTCTAAACAAATGCCACTGGGGGAAGAGTAAGCTATAAACATCCGAGGAAGATGAAGTGAAATTGAATCTGTGAGTTCAGGGTGATGACTTAAGCCATTGATTTTTCTATCCACAAGATGAAATTGATATTTCAGAACCGAGCAGCTATGTTCTAAGGAAATTGATAGCATGCCAGTTTAGACAAGTAAAGTCCTTGTTGTTCATAAAATAAAAACATCCAGTTTGTAAGTATCTGAAAATACAGATAGAAAGTTGGAAACAAGGATCCCAGCCTTTTGTTTGGTTCATAAATCCACAAAGTCTAAACAAAATTAATAGAAAATGTAATATTAATGTAGACAAATTGTAATGTATTTTAGAATTCAGATATCTTTCTTTGCAAGGGAGCATATAAAAAGGCCAAGGCTTGGATGCCACCTCATGAGACCTTCCATTTAATAAAGAAGATCTCCCTTTCTTGCATATGAGGTTCATTCCACCCTAGTGAGGATTCTACTTTATTAAACCTCAACAAGTCAGGGATTTTCTATGTCCAATGCAATAGGAACAGTTCATAATGCAAAATGAAATTCAGGAATTATCTCTGAATTATAGTGGGAACACAATGCCTCAAAAATAGTGATGTTGCTCAGAACATCCCCTTGCATTCAGCAGCTTCATTTCATTTTTCATAGCACCTAATGGGACAGTGACAAAAACAGAATGCAATGGTTTCTTTTCAAAGCCTATAAAGAGATATGATATAATGAGTCACTGCCTGTTGGATCTGAAATGCCAAGGAGTGTATTTTTTTTTAAAAAACTCTTTTTGCCACTGAATCACACAATAACTACCAATTTCCCGCAAGTTAGATATAAGGCATTTACATGTTTTGCTGTTATTGTTATATTTGTTTTACAACCTTTGCTTCTCTCAGGACAAAAACCCACCTACCACCAATGTTGATACTGAACATTGGTGTGTTCTTTATGATAGATAGCAATGTTCTTACATTGGTATAGATACATGAAATCTGCCCTGCTGCATGGTACAGAAATATCCGAGAAAACCCAAGAGAATTTAGGAGATCTATGTATGTGCTGGTATTCCATGGAAGCCACTTTGACCATTAAGTCATCACTGCCATATATCCCCCTCCAAACTCCATCCATTAACTGTGCACAACAGAAATCAAACAATATATTGTTGAAGGCTTTCATGGCAAGTGTCCTCAGACATCAGAAGAGCTCCACCACAGACGTCAGAAGAGCTGCAAGACTGAGAACAAGCTACGAGAGTAAAGACAAAGATCCACCCAGAGGAAAAGTGTTCTTGCCATACATCAAGGGAACCACTGAACGCATAAGGAAGTCGATGAGGAAATACAACCTACAAACTATCTACAGACCCACTAAGGAAATACAACAAGTTCTACACTCAGCAAAGGACAAGAGAGATCCTCTCACCTCTGCAGGAGTCTACCGTACACCATGCAGCTGTGGACAAGTCTACATAGGGACCACAAAACGCAGTGCCCAAACACGAATCAAAGAGCATGAAAGGCACTGCAGACTACTTCAGCCACAGAAGTCAGCCATAGCAGAGCACCTGATGAACCAACCTGGACACAGCATATTATTTGAGAACACAAAAATGCTGGACCACTCTAACAATACTATGTCAGGCTACACAGAGAAGCCATTGAAATCCACAGGCATGTGGACAATTTCAACAGAAAGGAAGAAACAATGAAAATGAACAAACTCTAGCTATCAGTACTAAAAAAAACCCTCTAAAATTATAACAGTAAATAAAGAACACTCAAGCACAGGGGAACACCAGACAAGAAACAATCAGGGACAGCTAATCATCTCTCAACAAAGGCTTCCCCCAGACAATAACAAGCCACACCATAAAACTGCCAGGCCATCAAATGCTAATCAAGGTGGCCAGTTGAAACATTCACACTTAGCTCCAACAGACAGTAGTTCTTTCTCTCAACATGGACCTTCCACAGATAAATAAACCCAAGTTTCCCAAGTTTCCAATAGACCTCACAACCTCTGCCATAGATGCAGGTGAAAAGTTAGAAGATAATACTTCTAGAACATGGCCATACAGCTCAAAAAACCTACAACTACCTAGAAATCAAACAACATTAAAATCATAAAGGGCTGTTGCTCCAAGCACTCTGAGCCCAACCAAGCATCTTCCAAGACCAAATATTTCTACATATAAATTCTAGCTTTTCCTCATGTGAAAGATATCAATGTATTATGATGGGAGACTATAGAGCCATTCACTTATTATATTTGCATGGATAAGGTAGCTTTGGCTAAAGAGACAGAGGTGTTAAATGATTAACCGCAACTCAAAAGTCGTAACACTTGATCCACCCTTGCCATAGCTGCCACTGTGTTTTCCATAGCTAGCTAATGTGGGGAAGGGTTAACTGTAAGGAACCCTAAAGTATGTTTTCAGAAGCTCCCATTCAGTTTAGAACTCTTATGAATCAAGGTCTGGGGTGCAACATACAGGAAGTCTTTACTGAAAGCACTGTCTGGCTGCCCCTTTCAACATGGATTGCTTTTGGGGAACATGCACTGAGACATGAACATCCCAATGACACACTGTGTCTCTGTGTGAACTTTTCTAAAAGGATTAACTCCATAATCTGACCACTAAAAGAACTATGTTTTGTTGTGGATTGTAACAAGACTCTACTTTTTCACTGGTTTCTTTGAGTTTCACCAATGTGATTCCAGCAATAAGCTTAAAAATAAACTATTTGGAGTATGTGTGTGGACAGATAAATAGACAAGTAGATGGATGGCCAGAATGAAGAAAGAGATAAGAAATACATGATAGAGAGATAAATGACAAAGAGGCAGCTTTAAAAAAGCTGTGGCAGTATGCTTCATGTACACATTCCTTTGCTGAAGTTTTTTAAACAGGAGCTAGATGGCCATCTGTTGGGAGAACTGATTGGCAGAATGGAGTTGGACTGGATGGTCCTTGTGGTCTCCTTCAACTCTAGGATTCTATTATATGTTCTCCAGTCAATAAGTGCCTTTGAACTATCTACCTGTGATAGCCCTCCCTTTAGGTAGAGTGGGGCAACCAGCTCAGGCAACAGAAGCTGATGGGTAGTAGTAGAAGCCTCACTAACATTCCTTCTGGTAGGCAATGGGTTCCTCTCATGCTGAAGTGGTTCTTCTTGTGCCACACTGCATGTCCTACATTCTCTAGAGTTTACATGAATCTGTGACTAGTCTACACCTGTCCTGTTGCCTGTACTGAAGTAACATTCACTAGTCAGTCTAAATGCAGTGGCTTTACTAGGGTTGTTGTCTTTTCTGCTTATTTTCATACATTTTGCCCATTACCAGC